CAGGGCCGTCCTCAGGAAATTCTTCAGGGGGGGTGTTAATAAGGCCAATTCAACCGACTGGTTCAAAAAAATTTTTCCGGATCAGAAATTTTTGGTCGACCTCCCCCCCCGTCGCCAAAAAAATTTCGGTCAGTGTACCATTTTAGGGGTCCAAAAATTTTTCCGGACATACAAAAATTTTCCGGAACATTCAAAAATTTTCCGAACATAACAAATTTTCAACATTTTTTTACATTTTTCCGAAATTTTTACATTTTTCATCAAAATTTTCCTAAAATTCCCACCACGTTCTTGCCCTTTGCGCCAAAAATATTTAACCCAAATAGCAGTTCTACCGACTCAATAGCAGTCCTACCGACTGAATAGCAGTTCTGCCGACTGAATACAATTACTGGGGGGTGTCACACCCCCCCACACCCCCCCGTAGCTCCGGCCCTGCTTGTACACCCGAAGACCTCAATTTATACAGTATATTAAATCCGGTTCGAACTGGTATCAGTAGCGCTTAATACAAAGATCATATTTTTTTTTTACAATAACGTTATGCGACAAATACTTGCTGACGCTATCTCAAAAGATCACGCGACAAATGTTACGCGACAATGTTCCAAAAATGACGTCACTCTTATCCCTAAAAAAATGCTGACGTCCTATGGCGGGAAAAATGCTGACGTCATATGGCGAGAAATTTACCCCATATGGGGGGCACACCTACTGGCAAATTTACTGTTTTGGCAATTAATGTGTGATGTGGCTGAAATTTGCATGGGCCTAATCTTATCGTAAGCATAATCTTGTCTGCGTTATATACACATGCAGTTAGATAAATTGAGATGCTACAAAATAGTATACAGGAATTTCGACAAAACTAAATTTTTTGATACTGTATTAATAACAGTTTATAAGACATTAGAAATGTAGCTTCTGGCAGCTACTGTACTGTTAGCTACGTCACAAGCGTAAACAAACGCTCGGACATTTTTGCGATTTGTGGTATGGTTGGACGAAAATGGCTGTAATAAGTTCAAAATTTCATATAAAAGTTCAAAACTTCTTCTACTTCAAGCTTACTGGTAATTTACGACAAAATTAATTTGCAAAAGATTTGCATTCGCGAACCGCATCATTTGAAGAATTGAGTTTACCGTACGTAATTTCTTTTCAGAAACATTGCACTATCCTTGGATCCCTAGTTTTATTTATTATTCCTGGGAAAGGAATATTCCTTCAATGGGTTATCGGCCTTTTGAAGAACAAAAACTAAAAAATTTACATATACGTATTTTTATATTTTTTTTCCCTTAATTAAAGTGTAAAGACATAGCAAGCGCACGGACATATGAAGTCACAAACTCTTGCAAGGTATGATATTTAGAATATTTACCATTTGCATTATAGACTAAATTTTGGTCTAGACAAAAGTGGCGGCGCCAGCCTTTTAAAGTGGGAGGGATTTTCGATTGACAAAGGCGCGAGCCACTTCTAGGGGGATCCGGGGGCATGCCCCCCCGGAAAATTTTTGAAATCTAGAGTCCCTGAAATACGATTTCCTGCATTTTCAGGGTAAGATTATACAGAATTCCGAAGATTATAAAGTAAACAAATCACACGATATTTTCATGATTATATACGTATATATAAAAACTATGACTTTACTTTGATGGACAGCTGCCTAAAGGAATTGCTACTTCCAGGAAAATTGAAGTCAACATAATTTTGGCATTATTGGCTCATCATGGTGGGTTTCCTTCGCCGGGCGGTCGAAATCAGCGCCTGTAATATGCTAATGGCAAATACCGCATGAAATGGTCTTTTGTCAAAAGTAAATCTTTTAATACCGGTTTTTATTCACATAACTGGACTGATATCACAAATGTACCCCCCCCCCCCCATTTTTCTCACCGGATTTGGACAAATTAGAAAATTGACCTTGAAGAGATCTGGGGGGGACGTGTCCTCCCCAGTCCTCCCCGTGGCGCCGCCACTGCAAGTTAGTCATGATCAGCTACAATTTTGCACTGAGAACTTAACCTTGAAACAGGAAAGTAAAGCATCAAAAGACCTGATAATATATACGTATGTGTATGTATATCAAATTACTCTGTGATTCCTCACTTATAAATATAACCTAGTATCATTCGTGATGACAATTAAAACATGTGTAGTTGAAACTTGACTATATGAAAACGTTTTCTGAAATTCTAAATTGCCGTTGTTTTGTAATTTGTAAAGATTCTGAGTGGATTTTTCAGAATCTTCAATACTGTAAGTAAAATACATGAAAACAGTAAAAGTTCGCGCAACAATCCATTATCAATCTTCAGTCATTAAATTATTTCCTATACAATCTCCGTTTTGATTGTGTAATTATGACATCACACC